TGTATCATAAAAATGAATTAGAAAAACCTCGGTTTATATAGGCTATTCGAAAAACGGAACAATTAGTTACTAGCCGTACTGTTGTGTCCAATCACTAAATTTGTGTACCACTGAGGGCAATGACCTATAAGAACCCAGATGCAGAATAGACAGTTTCTTCGAGACCAATGATTGATAAGTACATTGTTCATATTTTTATCTCAGAACCAAAATGCGGAATTGGCAGAATCCGCACAGGAGCAGTGACTAGAAACGGAGCGTCTATTCCTTACTCCTCGAACTCCTACTCCCTTGCTTAGTTAATTTTATATGTAGAATAAGTAATTTAATTAGTCTTAGGAAGAACATTAAAGAGACAACTACAGAGTCTTGAGGGAAGAACTGCAATAAAGCAAACACTTAAAAGAATATTTTACTAATAAACCATTAGTAAAACTAGTTGGATTCATTATTTACCAAACCTAAGGCTCCACAACAGAAGAAAATATCCCACAGTTTCCAGATATATATCCCTGGGACACAACACATACCAAAGATTTCCCGTTGACAAAATTCATAAGCTTTATGTTCAGAATCCCAGACGTTCGAGAATAGAAACTCCATACATGCTATTAAATATCTATCTTAAATGAAGCAGCTTTTATGTTATTTATAATTATCAATGATATCCAAAAAATCTATTATATTTTTTTTCTATCTTTTAAGAAAAGCAGATTAAGCTATACAATTTAGGTACTCGACAGTTTGGCGACGGATACTCAAAAAATATTTTTAAGAAACTCATTTATTATTGTAATAATAATTATTTAAATTTAAAAAAAATATATTAATTATAAAATTTAAAAAATTTGACCCATTTTCACCATCGTCGACTTGTCCGTCCCCGAGCTGTCGCGTACCCATATAATGTGTATGCATCTTACCTTAATTTATATAAAAATATGGGTACGCGACAACTCAGGTGATAAACACTAATATAAAATTTTAACATATTCGTTTAATAACAATAATTTATTAACCAATATATTTATTTTCATTTTATTTTTTTTTTATATCTAAATTTTATGTTATGTTCTATTATTTGGCTAATAATTTACTGTTACAATCCTCCTAATGATCTCCTTTACTCCAAAACCAAAATAGTCCCTCTCCTCGACCGATACCTTTCCCTTTTCTTGAAATTTAAATCCAAACAGTCCAACATCGCCTCCCTCTCTAAATTCTGTGCCCCTCGAAATCCAAATATCCTTCCCAAATTTAAATATCCCACATTATCCCTATTTCAATACCTAATGTTTTGTCTGCTGCTTTTTTTCTCTCATTCTTCTATTTTTCATGTGTATATATTGTCATTGATCCATAATTAAATTTATTTCCCGGGCGGAAAAACCTCGGTCGATAGCCATTTGGCCAGCATGTTAATATTTTGTTTTGTTAATTTATGTTAAAATTTATTTATTTATTTTTATTATTATAAGCAAATATGTTTTAGTGTCTGTCGCAGAGTTGATCGTCGCGTAGCAAAATATATAGCTTTTCTAAAAATCGTCTCATTTATTTTTCTCTTATCAATCATTTGCTTGCTATACCATCATAAATTTTACTCTATTTTTGATGTAACCTATTAGAATAAATAACTCGCAGAAGTAATCAAGATATTTCTTAAGGTACGTAAGTACTAGTTATAAATATTTTGACAAGTCGAGTACGATAATCGCTATGCCGCTCCGATGATCGCACTTGATTTGTCATTTTAATTATACTTTTGGAAGGTTTCCGATGGGAAATCGTTCCGCTCCACGCTTGTTATATTATTTTTCTGTTTTCACTTATTGTCAAAAAGGTCGGCAGGTTGTGAATTATTAAAATAATAAAAAAAAAATATACGTATTTTATTTATACTTAAAAATTTAATAGAAAAATAAATTTGGAATCATTTTTTCAATATGGAATAACATTTTTACTATTTGTGAAGAAAGCATACATTATAAATTATTTTTTGTTGTCCTGTATAAAAGAGAAAAAAATATTCTAAAATTGGAAAATAAAAGTCTGCTGGAGAAAAAAATATATTTAATGTTTATATTTAAAGTATTTTTTTTTATGTTTATTATTATTATTATTATTATTGTGTTAATAGATTTCATAATTGAAAAATAACCTTCACATAGAGTTACAATTAATTATTTGAAGTGCATAGAGACAGTTTCAGAAATAAATATATAAAATTTTCATGCAAAAAAAAATATATTAGAGAATGTAAGAAGCGCGCATAATATTGTTATAATTGAAATTATTGATCGTTGTCTTTATTCTCCATCATAATATCAATCGAAATATTTAATGATATTCCAAAAAGAAATTCTTATTGATTTTATTTTTATGTAAAAATGTTAATCAAGATTTATTAATTGATTGAAACATAAATAATTATATACTATGTGTACTCATTTGTAATTCCAATTTGGCATGCAAGTACTACGGTTTTCCGCATTTGCATAAATCCTAGCCGCGGAGATAAATTAAAGGTACGGATAAAATGTAGGGCAGCGACTTCCTAAATGGCAGTGGCGGCCACTGCACACGTAACGTTTTCCATTGCATTATCAATACATAACAATCTATCAGTTTTAAGCACACACAAGTGCATATATATGATGACGTTTACTTCGTTATTTTTTGTGTTTGTGTGTGTGTTTCTTTTTCTCTTTTGTTGCTGTTGTATTCTAAATAAAATAATAAATGGTGAAAGTAAAACGAGTTCACTCTCCAAAAGGTCCAGCACAAAATATTTTCCCAGCTAATGAACGGAATCGGTTTTACTGCGGTTACGCAAAACGCGCGTGAACGTAAAAAATTCTTTCTCAATTGAGTCGCGCACATTCTGTTTGTTTTTACAAAAGATGCCGCTATTTATTTCCATCAGTTCACAGATCCCAAAGATAACAAAGATCGCATCTGGTGCGCAACAATAATTGCGAGACTGGATGATCATGATGATGCATAGCGCATAAATTTCTTTATTACGTTCGCTCGCGTGCACCGCGATCTCGACTCAGATTCAATGAAATCGGAAATTAATTGAAATCCCAATTAATTAGTTTAATTAATTTGCCATTTCCAATTCACGCACAAAGACTTGATGTGTGTAATCATCGCATGCTTAATAGAGCTACAATTGTACGATCGTATGAAACAAAAAAAAGAATAGCTTGTATTAATTTGCAATTACCTCTGAGGTACTAATTAATGTTATCTTATAAATGTTCCATTTATGGACTAGTTAAGAAATTGTTTAAATTGACTGCATTGTTTATTGCACCTTGTTACTATTACACATTTTGAAATTGTGACCACTGTTAACAATCGAGGTCATTTCGCAAGAACGTAATTCTATACCATCCATAGAGGGAATCGGAATAAAATTGTATATTCATAAAAACCTATACTATATATCCATATATTAAGAGGTGTCCCTAATACATCAGTCTTTTTATTTGTATTTTAGAGAAATTATTAAATAAATTTGAATTATATTTAATTATAAAATATTTTTAACAATTTGTCCAGTCTCGCGAAGTTTTGAAAAACTTAAGTCTATGAAATCCATATTATACGTGAAATATAATTTCAGTAATTCCTGTAATATTTCAAGAAATTAACGATTCCAATCTTTTTAAAAAATGATTGAAATGCAAATAATTCATTATTGATTTTTTTTCATATTTTTGTATGTTAAAATGTTTTATTTTTATTAAGATTTATTGTTAAGCACAAACAATGAACTTTATACTTTGTAATAAATTGATACACTGAAGTCGTTAACATCATAGTCAAATAACATCCTGTTGCCGTGTCAAAGCAATGAATTGTCATTGAAAATAATCTAGTAACTTCGAGGAGGAACCAACTAAGAGTTATTAGTCAAGAATGCCTCAAGAGTTAAATTAACCAGGATAATAAAAAAATGAATCTGCTTAAGGAGTTGGAAAAATACAAGAATAAAATAGTTACAGCAAGAATTAATAGTGACAACATTCGGTGATGTTGCAGAAACCTGTATAGGAATTATCAGAAAGTGACCACTTAAAGATCAAGCAGATTAGGCGTAGACCATGTCAATAAAGGGACTTACTAAAGATTAGTAAGGAAAAAATCTAATTGATACAAAAACCTGTGTTTAAGATAGCCTGCTTCCCTTGATATTCCAAAATGCATAACTCAGTCACACTTGATCATTAAATGATGATAATATGGATCACCTGTTCCAACTATAATATTATAAAAGAAATATACAATATAACACAACATCTAATGTTGATGCAAAACTAAATAGTGATTTAACTAATAATTGAATTTAAGTAGGTTTGAGTATATTTGAATCTCACAGTATAAATCACACCACATAGAACAGTGGTCGCCAAAATGGTCGATATCGCCAACCAGGGGTTGACATAACATTGTTAGGGGTCAATAGAAAATATAAAGACTCGTCTACAAGGTGTTACGATTATTCAAACTAGGATATATTATTTTAGACTGTAAAGCTAATATATGTGCGTAATAGTAAAATAGAGGCGATCAATGTAAAGAAACTAGACTAGCCAAAGTTTCGGTTAGTTCATATTACCAGAGAAAAACTTCAATTAAGGTTGGATTTGGAATTAAAATATATATATAAAACAAAACAAAATAATCGTATATAAATAACATCATCTTAGAATTCAACGTCGTACATACATTTATTTGCTTACCTTTTAAATGGATGATTACCGAAGTCCGCAACCCGTGGCTTCGTTCTCTAAGACGACTCGGATAGGTTGTTCCTCGCCACATGAGGCTCCCTAAGATATAATCTAAAAATGATAACCGGTGTGACCAACAAAATTATAAAATACCTTAAAAAATAATCATTAACAAGCGAATGCCATATAGTAATAGGGAACTGCAGTCAAACATTCAATTTCAATTTATGAAAAATAATTTATTTATTGTTTCCATTTTATATTCACTTTACAAAGTTATCTGTTTAAAATCTAACACGCAAAATATTAATATCAAGATCACAACTTCTTCAATGCCTTCTTGGCATATATTTCTTTAAACTCATGGGCAGCATCCTCCAACAGCATACTCATAATATCTTTTGTGACCTCATCCTTAACAATAAGCTCATCCTTCTCATAATTAATCCACTCAGTCTCTTCAGCAGCCGATTCTACAATTAACAGTCTATCTACATTATCGCCCTTTTTCGAGCTCCATTTAATAACTTTGTTCTGCTCGCTAAATCCAAATATTTCTTTCAACTTCTTTTCGAATAAAGCTTTGAGACCATTCCGATCAAGCGGTCGTCTGAAATTCGTCTTTTCCGATTTCATCCACGATACCATAGCATCTTCATAAAAGAGCTGATAATGATTTAATGCAATCTCCTTGCAGAGATCGAAAACAAATACAGCACTCTCCTTATTTGGTCCTATCAAATTTACTGGACAACAAATCGTTTTCAGAGTTTTCTTTCTATTGGATTCAAATAAAATCTTTGAAAATGTCTCCACGAGGGACTCTAATTCATGATAATTGTTCGGAATGATTGTTTGAGGTGTTAATACGGGTGGTTTGTACGGTGGAGGTGGTTTGTTCGGTATCTCCCGTAGATAAAAATACACCTCCTTCGCTTGTTTCTGTTGTCGTTTGAGGTGTTTAATCTTAAAAAAATAATTTAATAAACACATTCCATACCAAAATTGAATCATAATATATACTCACTTCTTGTTCAATTGCTAATTGTTTCCTATGTAATTCTTCTGCTTCTATGCCATAAACATCTTTCACTTCTTTACCATCAATTGGAGAACCTGAAAAATATTAACATATTATGTATTACACTTAATAATTAAAGCATATAAGTAAGTGCATACCCAACTCTGGAGAATTTTCTGGAGAAATTACTGTAGTAACATAAATATCCTGCACTCTTTTATTCTTTTCAACAACAGGACTTTTTAGATTGGCATCACATAAAATCTCCTTAACCCTTTTCTTCACTTCAGATTGTTGCTCATTTATATTCTCAGAGCGCAAACTTCCTTGGTTGTTAGATTTTAATGAAATATTTTCTTCACTAACAGAAGAATCAATTTCATGCACCTGCATTTCCGACTTCGATTTATTTTGATTTAGACTTTCTTCTGTTGAAACTTGAGATTCTTCACATGAAATCTTTTCATGTTCATTAAATTTCAGCTGTCTTCTAGATGAAGATTTATTCGACACAAGATCTTTATCACTTATTAATGACAAGTTCAAACTAAGTGATTTAATTACTTCCGATTTAGTTATATCTTGTTGTTTTTCAGATATATCAATCTCATCTAAGATATTTGAATCGTTTGCTATTATCTCACTTGATTGAATTTCTTGTTCTCGTTTTATTTCAATAATCTCTTCTACTTCAGAAATGTCATAACTTTCATTGATAGAATTTGTACGTGGTGATGAACACAAGAGTTCAGAACTTTCATTGTTTAAAATATGATCACTGGCCAGCTGATTTTCTTCTGAATGTATTAATTCATCGAGAATACTAACTTCATTTTTCATTTCATCCTGCAAACTTGTTACATCAGCTGAGGTAGCCAAAATATCCACACTTATAGATTTCTGCTGACTTTTACACTCGCTTGATTCTATTTCGTTATCACTTATTTCCAAAATACTAATATCGACATCCTTTTCCTGTTTAGAGTTACTTAAATCGGTAATATCTTCAACGGATTCAATAGAATCACTTTTATTTATTGATTCTGAATATACATCAATATTACTTATATTTTTAATTGAATTATGTTTTATTTGTAGTCCATCAATAAATCTCGACATTAAGTCATGACAATTAGAACGATCGATTTCCGTAGAAATCTTAGATGATTTTGTGTTTGTTTCTGTATTGGATTTTAATAAGTCGTGAGCAGCATCTTCTTTTGTTAATGTAAATGAATTTGCAGATTCTTTATTGCTTCCTAATTCTTTGAAAAAACCGCGGTAGCTAGAAATATTTCCTTCTAAATCAGACATTATATCTGTATTTTGTGTAGATTTTACTTCCTGAACTACTAAAATATTCATTAAATCTTTTTTTTCTGATGAAATAACAACTGATGATGGAATTTTATATTCTGACAAGATATCCGATTCTTTAATATGTTCTGACTGATCATTGGCATCCTCTACACTAATTATTTCGGAAAAACTTCTAATTTCTTTAATACTGGACGTCTTCGACATTGAGCTGTCATTTTCAAAATGATCATCTATAATATCACTTGCAGGAACTTTTGATATTTCTGAACTTTGACTTATTTCTTTCGATAATAATAATCTTGAATCCTTATTTTCAGAAGAAATTGATGAATCTTCTTGATGCTCAGAAATATGTTTTTCAGAAATGAAATCTATGGAATAGTTAAACTTGCTTATTGATGCGTTTTCAGTAGATGCAAGCGTGTCTCGTTCAGCTCCATCCCGTTCTATTGAAAAGGACAGCGATTGTTTCAATTGAGAATTTTCTGGCGAAATAGTTTTGATCTTCTCATCATCTATGGTTGATTTTAAAGATATGTTGTTCTCCATTTCCGTTGTTATGGTTTCCGGGTCTTTTATTATATTGTTCTCAGTGTCCTTTGAATGATCTGTTAATTGGATATTATCATTTTCTGCTTTATCAGTTTGAGTAATATTTTTTGTGATATTTGATGATTGTATTTTTTCCCACGGTGTCATGTGAACGGGTTCTTTCAAATCTATTGATATAGATTTTGATATCTGTTCCATACTTTTATTGCAAATGTCGATGTTATTGATGTTCAATATTACATCACTTTTAAGAGGAGGAAAGAGATTTTGTATCGATTTAGTTGATTTAATGATTTGAGAATCGCTTTGACTTGCCGCATTTTCAGTTTCAATTTCAACAGGCAACATCTTTTCTGCACTCATATGCTCGTAGATGGATAAGGTATTTTCGGTGTTCATAAACAAGTCATCATGCATTTCCTCCTCCGTTAAAATGCTATGTTGAGCAGTTTTATGATAGCTGGGCGCTATAATACTTTCGGTAATATTTTGGTTGATTGTTTCGTCTGTTTTGAGGCTACTCTCGCTGCCAATTTCTGAGGTATTTTCATTGGGTTCCTGGGTGTCTGTGCAAACGGGAGATCTAATACTAGGTTCAGGTACGTTTGAAGCAGATTCGGACGGTTGGAATTGATTCGGTATTGAAGATAACTTGTACAGTTCGGAAATCTCATCGGTGATATTGTTAATATTCGCGACGATTTCATTCAGCGTCGACTCGGATTGTTTTATCCCTTCTTCCAGATTTTGCTCTGGTTCCAGTGCCTTGACTTCCTTGGACTTGGAGATGCGCTTAGCGTCCTTGCAGAAACGCTCTAGGGCTACTTGTGAGAGGTTATAGGTCTCCGAATCCGAGAACTTCTTGTTATCTTTGAAACCGGTCATGTTCTCCCAAAGAACATTCAGCTGAGAACCCTTGAAGCTGTATCTGCTCTGGTTGTTTGAGTTCTCTATTGTCACCGACGGTACCTGATTGATTATGTTGCTAGCTGCCATCTCCAGTTCCGTAATCTTTTTCTCCTCCTCGAGGAGCTTCTCGTGCCATTGCAGCAACTCCTCCGCGGCTTTTCTACGTTTTTGGAGAGCAGCTTCTCGTATCGAAAGGCATCTGGAAAATAAGGTGCAAGGTTGAATAGAAAACAAAGGAAAACATAAATAAACGATAAGAACTAACTAGGAAGGTTAATGATTGATATAAAGTATCGCACGATGAGTGTATGCAAATGCGTATGTTGTTTGCAGTTTGTAATACGAGTGTTTATTACGCGGTGAGCGCGCGCGTCGCGAATGAATGGGATCGGTAAATAAAGTTTACGCGGTTGGTGACAACTGGGTGCACGCGTGCTGGTGGCTTCGTTGTATTAACTAATAACCAACAGCTACCGAACTGAATGAAACACACGTCTAACACTAATTTTAACAGGAAAAACAGAAGTCTGGCTCTGTGCCAACGTGGATGTTCTAATATTAGGAGTCGCGCGCCCCGTTTGTTTTTTGATCGGTTTCCACCATAATTATAAACAACTCCAGTTAATTAGGGCCAAAATAGAATGACGGACGCCACCCGAAACGCAATACGCCGCAGAATTTCTATTTGAATCTCATTCTGACGCCCGATCCGTAAAGAAATTTACATTCGCACGCTAACAACTAACGCAAACTCTGACAAAACCATCACCTCTTGACTTTTTTTTATATTCAAAATCTATGAAATAATTTTAGCCCAATTGATTGTAGCAATTATAACATACCACAAATTACAGAAATGAAATAATCATTGCAACATTCCATATCGTACCGTAAGTCTTTCGCCCATACCATTTAATTTGAAGGTTGTGTTAAATAAATATTTCATTTAAAAATATTAATTAGTCATATTTTTATAATTAGTACAGAAAAGCACTATAATTAAAAGAACAATGTGCATTGCAGTATGGATTATATGATTTTTTTTTAATTTTGTGTACTTATAATTCATTGATAGAAAGCACATATACAATGGGCTAATTCCTCTTTCCTAAATCTTATTATATAATGAATATGTTATTTCATGTGAATTTATTCACCAAAAATATACAAAACAGATAATCAAGTATATCCGTGAAGTATAATATCAAAATGCTCATATTTTAAATGTTTTCAAAATCAACTTGAAATACTGTTCTTATAAAATGTATTTTGTATAATTCAACAAATAAATAAGTAGCGATAAGTGTTGAGATAAATTGATTTCATTTTTTCGATAATGCGTTACAGTAGTCCAGTGGTCCCCAACCTTTTTATTGCCGCGGACCGGTCAACGTTTGATAATTTTACCGCGACCCGCTTAGGGAGAACGGACGTTAGTACAGTTACACCAAAAAATGAATATAAACCGGGGGTTGGGGACCATTGCAGTAGACCACAATTAATATAATAAATTTATATATATCAATTAATATATATTTTATAGTTAAGTTCAGATTATCACAAAGAAAAATAATTATTTGAAAATAAATGACACATACAGTAAAATTCAAAACGTACAAACACCGACACTTGTAAAATAATTTTGTATTTACCTTTTTGCATTTTCGGTCATATTATGAGCGGCCGCATTCTTCACAATTGATTTATCTGATTCAACAGTTCCATTATCAGTTCCTTCTACAGTGTATCTACTAATGATCGATTCTGAACAAGAAGTATATAAGAGATCATCAGTGACTGAACTCATCATCTCCTTGCGATGATAACTCAACACTTTCAGAGGTCCAGAACGTTTCCGGTCTGCAGTAGGAGTCCTCTTCAGTTTTGTAACACTTCCAAAGTTCGAGAGCTGTGCCTTTATCATATTTCGTTGTTCCTTCAAAATAGTCTTTCTCTCCTTCGATGCAGCCTTTTGCATTTGCTTCAATCTGAACAAAACAAAAATCAATTATTCATAAAACAAACTACTTGTAATAAAATAAAACATACTTTTGCATTTCGTGATTTTCGTGTTGCAGTTTAATCACCAATCCGCGTTGTTTCTTCTTCACGGCTGACGCTTCTTCTGCCTTGCCGGTTTCCAACAAATGCCTTAAAATTACCTCATTACACTCTTTTTCACTTTCTAATTGTCCACACTTTTCACTTACTTTTTCTGTATTTCGAGCCAAGCCAATTGGCCTTTCGTTCTATCAAGAAGAGACTTCTCGCGAATCTTAAGGATAGTTTTCAAATTCTTTATCCGCTCGTCCTCATCGCTTATCAATCGATCCAACTGTTTATTCACAAAAACAGAAAACAAATTAATCACCAAGTAAACATGGTAATTGTGAACTAAATGTTTATTTATCAAATAACAATCGTTGCTTCATGAGAACAAGCGCAGCAGCATTCCGCACTGATTAATCAAATTAAAAATTAAGTATTACCATTCCTATAGAGATGCCAGCTTGTAAATTTTCTGGGTATCCTGCACTCATATCCATGTATTCTATATTTGTTTCATTAATCGTTGTCTCGTTTATTGTAGTTTCTGGAAAATCGGATACTTCCATGAATTGATTGATCATCATCGAAGTGTCGTTTAATTTGTTTTCGAAACTCTTTGAATGTTTATCTTTCGGCGGTGTAGTTTTACTTTTATTCTGTAAATCCGTAAGAGACTAAAACATTAAATGACGATAACACAACATTAAAAACACACACACATCTACTAAACATGAAATCTAAATTGACAAATACATAAATAAATAAACATATTCTAAAGGTATTCAATACAAGGTAGTATAAACTAATAAACTCATCAAATACATTACTATATATTACCTTATTCACTTCCATAAATTGTTTTAAAGATTGATTAAAATCATTCAGCAAATGTAATTCAGCTTCAAAAGTTACATGCATTTCCTTAGTATTTGCCTAAAAAAATATATAAAAACATGAATCTCTAATTAATAAAATTATAAGATGGTAAAAACATACAGTTTTATCGACGATCTTCTCTACAGGCCGCTTTAAGTTGTCCAAATTTTCACTTTCAGAATTATCTTTATCGGAGATTGTGCGCAAAGAGACGTTTGGTGCTTCAAGTGCTAGTGCTTTCGATATCTTACTATAGGGTGTATGAACGCGTCTGGTCCTTACACTACTATTAAATCCTACCATATAGTCCCTAAAACTTTTCAATTCCTCTGTACGATGAGTGCGATCGCTCTCACGTCCTCCTTCTTTCAAAGTGCTCATATTAGAACTAGTACTGAGCTTTTTTCCATGTTGAGAATCAACTTCAGTGATTGTACTACGACTGCTGTTACTACTCTGTGTGCTTGAAGTCTTACTAGAATAAGTTGATACATTCGAACAGATTGTGCTTAATCTCCTCGCAACTTGAGATTCATAATCGTTTATACTATCATCCTGCGATACTTGATGATTACGTGTATGCAGTTTTAGAGATTTCAATTTGTTGATATCAATCTTAAGGGAAAAATCTGCAGGCGGTTCTTCCTTCTTGGCAACTTTTACCCGTTTCGGAAGATCGGGCTTCTTAAAAACCGATTCATCATTTCTGTGATCTACCATCTTCGTTCGTCTACTAGTTACTCCAACAGGAGTTCTACCATTAGATATTTCGTTTACAAGTTTAAATCTGTTTGCTTTTTCAGGAGTATCGCAATCATTTTTCAATGTTTTTTCGATCATCTCCTTCACTTCTTTTACAGATTTAATATTATCATATCTGCTTGAACCTTTAACAGGCATATTGAGCTTTCTCTTAAGAGTTGAAATAAAATTATAAGGTTGAGTTTGTGGACCTACCTCTAACCAATCTGGTACTTTCAATTTTTGTGCTTTATATTGAAAATCTTTTTCAATTTCAGGACTTTCTTCCAATATTTCAAATAATTGTTCTTTATCTTTCTCCAGATTTTTTCTCCTTAATTCAATCTTAAACAAATCTCTTTGTCTGCTACCTCTATAATAAGCTTGAATTTTAGTAGCAGCTTTGTTTAAATCTTCCTCTTCAAGTTTTTTAATATTCTCAAGTTCATTGCTATGATTTTTTTGAATTTTTGTAGTTTCCTCTCTGGTATTATCTACTTTTTCTAAATCCAAGTTCACTACTGCTTTTGATTTAACACGATTAGGCCTTCTAGTGTGACCTAAATAACTTATTGGAAGCTTAGGTTTTGCAATAGGGGGATCTGGAGACTTTTCAAATTGAACAGGTTTCTTTTCCCTGGATCTGGATCGTGCTCTGTTATGTTCAGTAACCTAAATATAAACAAACAAATCAGTAATGTAAAATAAATATAATAATGTACTTACTATTTGTAATGATTTTTTTTGTAAATCAAGCAGCTTTTGTTTTCTTTCTGCCATTATAACCCTAGTATCCTTCTCTTTATCAACAATTTGTTTAGACCTAAACTTATTTAACTTATGGCAATCTTTTTTAACTTCTACTTTCTTCTGCTTATCAGACATTTTGCTTAATTTTAATACAGGTGTAGAATTGAGAAGTGCATCAGTCTCTGTGCCCTTTGCTTTAACATCAACCTTTTCTGACACTGACCTACTAGGTTTCTCTGCAATATTTTTAGTGTTCCTGTTTTCAGTTTTGAGAATGTTACGACTCTTGGCATCCTCAGAAATTTCTTGTTTGAGCATTGTGTATCCATTGAGTGGAGCATTTTCCTTTTGTACCTTACCACCTGAACTGCTTGTACCAGCCAGACCTCTCTGCAACATCCCACATAACTCATTTTTGAGTCTTTCAATTTCCTTCTTTGACTCAGAATTCTTCTTACTGAACAAATCACTACTTGAAGACTTCTTTGGTGGCATTGCTTAGACTAGAACACTTGAGCAATACAACATAATATAAAAGCATACAGTCTTTATAATTTCAACACAACACAACAAAACTTAACAAACAGCTGATAGATATTTTATAAAATCATTAAACAAAAAATCGATTTGTAGTGACACCGGTTTGAGCAGGTTTGAGAAACAAACGTTATAAACCGATTCAAGGTAGATAACCCCCCTCTCAATTCTACCTGTTGAATACAGATGTCATAAATGCAATAGTTATACAAATTGTTATTATTTTTTATATTTATTTCATACAAATTAATAGAAACAAATGTACTGATAATTAGTGTAAAATTTTAAAATATAATAAATATTATTTTTGTAACGGATTTCAAACAATCAGGTTGAGCAACTTATGGAAAAAATAATCGAAAAGTCCCTAAGAAAATTTAAATGTCATATATTGCTGCATTGTACAGTGTGTGACAGTTAAGTGTCAACATGCTTTTGTAATTGAAGTTGATTGATTTATATTAAAGTTGTTCGTTTAATTATCATCCTCTTTTAATCAATTAAAGTGGACATGGCAGGGTATAAGAATGTGTTGGAGTCTGTGCGGGAGGACGATTTTGTAGAATACTACTTGTTTCCGAAACCAAGTGTTTTAAATGATAACAAAGAAGAGGAAATAATGATTAGTAGTGTACTTAGAGAAGCTAAACAGATAATAAAAAAGTTTGTCAATAAATACATTTGGCATAGAGATGAGTTTGTTTTGTCTGCTAGGACTGCTATTTCAAATATTCTAGCTAATGAGGAAGACAGAGGTAAAATAACTTATAATCAACTAATATTACTGAATTAAATTATTCTTATGATTACAGAACTATTGCCTTCCCATTTGTATGGTATAACACACTATGGGGATAACATTGAAGATGAGTGGTTCATTATTTATCTACTTATGCAGCTAACCAAAGAAATTGATGGATTAATTGTAAGGGTCACAGATGCAGATGGTGAATTCTTGTTGATTGAAGCTGCAGATCATTTGCCTCCTTGGGCTAGGCCAGAGAATTGTGAGAAAAGAGTGAGTCATATACCATTAATGTGTTAACCCTGAGATTAATGAGTCATTAATTACAGGTTTATTTATACAAAGGTTTGATTCACATTCTTGCACCTGAAGAAGAATGTGCTGAGGAAGATTATTCAGATGTACAAGTTGCAAATGCTTTAAAAGAAATTCGTAACAATCCATCATTAACTGTGGCATCTCCACAAATCCAACAGGCCATACTTAACAAAATAAAAGAATATCCAGAGAAGATATTAGAAAATCTTCACCGAACAAATATTTATCTGCCAATTGGCTTAGCTGCAATTCTTCAACACAAGCCGAATTTAATAGCGCCAGCTGTACTTGCATTCTGCAATCGCGATAGCGTCGACCTGAAAGCTTGCAAAGCTATGAAATATTTCCCTCCTGAAAATCGAATTTATTGCAATGTTACGTTCACAAAATGTCTTTACGCTATGTTAACTCATAGTAAATACAATCCGGAGAGAAAAACCGGTTGGAATTTGGTACCAGTCTCTGATCCAAAACATAAATCGCAAAGCTTAGGTGTCAAAGTTGCGTGCGGCTTTGAAATCTTAATCTCTCAGGCTAAGCCTAGCAAAGACATTGAAGGAGACAAGGGTTGGCACAATTACTTAGATAATTTGCAGAAGAAAGATTACTTTCGAGATTTGTTGGAGCACTCTCAGGAGTATAACAACTTATTAAATAAAGCCAAAGAGTATTACATTAACAATGGTGATTCGATGCATTATACGCCGGCCGTAGGCCAAGAAATTTTAGATTTAAGTAAGAATTTGGATTATAATCTGGAAGATCTGAAGAAGCTAGAATCTAAATTGCCAGTAGACGATGACGAAGAATGGCTTAACATCTCTCCAGAAGAATTAGATAAGATGCTATTGGAACAATATGGCCAAAAGAAAGCATTGCATGTTAGGAGCGGCGAAGATGCTAGTAACTTTACTCAGAAAATTAACAAGTTCTTGAATCATATATCCGATGTTGATGGTGCAGAATTTCCCAAAGAAGAAATTCCAATTAGACCGCCCAGAACTAAAAAAGTTAACGATAACAAAGTTAACTTTGATGCAAATTCATTCTCTTGTGCAGTACAGAATATTCTTAATTTTGTTATACCAGAAGACGATAGCTGGGATCTTGATTCAGATTCGGATATGGATGATTACGGGAAAGAGGAAGAACCGCCCATGGATTATGGAGAGTTGAAAAATAAAATGCAAGAGTATATGAAGCAGATGGATCAAGAATTATCCACAACAACTATTGGAAAAAGCTTTGAGACTAAAAAAGTTGAAGATTTCGAAGACATTGAAAGCTTTAAGCCGGTTGATATAGATATGAATGCACTAAAGAATATTTTAGAGAGTTACAAGTCGCAAATGGGGGAGGCCGGACCTTCTACCAATATGCTTGGCCCTATGGGCGTTCATTTGGAAAAGGCGGAGCAAATGAATGACTCCGAGTAAATGGATTTCATAATTTGTTAAAATCTTGCATGGTGCTTAAGTTTCGATTACTCTATATATCTTTAAATATTGTTAAGCTAATTTTCTTCTGACAGCTCAATATCATCTACTTTAGAAACTACGATATTCTTCGTTCTTCCTATCTATATAAAAAATGATTATCACTGTAGCGAATTATCATTTACTGCCACATAATTATTTATATTTTTTATACCTTTAATTACGATTAAATCAAATAATTGAAGACTATGTTTGTTTACCTTCTATATATTATGAGTAAAATAAACAGTAACAAAAGAGATATTAACTCTGTTTTTCTTTTTATATAAGTATAATCATATTTAAAACAAAAATGCTTATTTAGCTTGTTTGAACCATTTCGGAACTTTTTCGGTGGGCTCAACTTTCTTAATTGGTGATTTGTTGTCGTAATCCTCGTATTCTTTAGCGCTAGTGCTAGCGCCAACATTCACATCAGTAGTGTCCATAGCAATCAGTTCTTTCAAGTCGATATCTTCTTCTGGTTCATCTTGAATCATCCTTGTGTTTTCATCCCTACAGAGAAGTTATTTACAAATTATGTCTTATTTGTAAACTATTGATAAATTACCTAAATGTATTCGCGGCGCATGAAGCAATAGAAGGACTAGTTAACTTAGTCAGCAGATCACTTTTTATGTAAGTATCACGTTTCACATCAGAACCAAAGTGTAACAAAGCACCGGGAACGCAATTAATTTCGATTAATCTGGATGACTTTGTTAAAACTTCCTTTGGAGGGGTGGTAACTACATAAAATATAATACATTGACAAATATTCCATATGTTAAACGCAAATAATACCTACACAAATAAAAATCTAGGGCCGTATCCTCAAGATAATCTTTAACAAAATTCATAACGTCTTCAATGGTTTCGATAGGTGTAAAGATACCCTGCAAGACGTGATGACTAGGAAACTGAATTCTTATAATAGCCCTCTTATAATGATTTAATTGACGTAACTGTTTTTTAGATTCTTCTAATTCTCGCATAGCTGAAGTCATTAATGGATTATCATTCAATTCCAACCTCTGCTTCTTTATATCTTTGAATAAACTTTTGATATCTGAAATAGATAACTCGAAGAAATCGTCAGGCAAATCATCGCTTCTAACAGTCTTTGCAGTTTCCAAAGAAAATAACATGGCATTACGTTCTCCCAACTAAAATATTAAAATTATTTTTCAATTCAATAAAAGAAACATTCATCTTACAAAAATGAAGTCTTCAGCTGAATGCTTAAGAGTTTTTGCATTTTGCTGAGATTGATTTTTAGTTTTCAATCCATGTGTAGCTTTACGTTTTTCCAGTTTAATAAAGCTTATTGGATTAATGTTAGCAACTTTTTTCTGCATCTGAGGTGGCTTCGATTCATCTTCATTAGTTTCTTTATACTCCTCTTTTTGGGTTGTACTACCTTCATCAGGCTTTGGTACATCCTGAGATGGTCTCTCAGGACTTGGAATTCTTTGAATCTGCCTGATATAGGGTTTCTCTTCTGTGGGTTTAGAAGGTAAAGGTGAAGAGATATTGGCTTGAGTTTTTAACTGCTCTGGGGAACTAATAACAAATAATAATTAATTGTTTACTTTGTATTAATTGTTTAGATTAACTTATTACTTACCGTTGAATTATTCTTAGCATAGCTCTGCCACCAGTTATACCAAGTGATTTTAGATCTGTCTCCTTTAACTTCTGATCACCATACAATTCTTGCCTCATATAAATTATTACAAACTCTTTACCAGATATTAAAATATTTGGACATAGTTTGCTTAGTACATCCCACAGATTGTTTGTAGGGAAGAAGTTGCCCATTACTCTGCTACCATCTTCCATTTGGAGGCCCAAAACAACCTCAGTTTCTTTTCTTACAGTTTGAGCTTCAGTTAATTCTAATAGTGCATTATTGGGCAAACCAGAAAATCTAACAATTGTTGTTGTATCCAATATCTTTCTATGATGTTTGATATCATATTCTTCTGGATTGAAACCCTGTTTTGAACAAGCCTCCTCAATTATCTAAAAATATAAAATGAATTTTCTTTTTCTAAAACTAATATACTAGAACCTGTAAGATAGTTGTATTTGGTGTAACTTTTACTGGTTGTCTTCTCCCATTTGGAGCCAAAACCACTAAATTCGTTGCCATTCTATAGTATAATTTTATTAAAGCATCTGATTTATACACTAGAATATTTTTAAACAATGACCAACCAATATTAAAACAACCTTAAAATAGTGACAAGTGTCAACTTAAAATTTATTTTCTTATAATTCTAGATGCATTATTAAAGTTTACATTTGTTGTGTTTGGCTTACAATTAATCAAAGATTATTTATTTTCCTATTACTGTAAAATTAAATTAAACATAAATAAATGAAGTTAATCTGGTTGCATATAAAATCGACTAAAAAAAATTAAAAAAGTGGTTGCCTATATCAGCCTATAAATGCAACAAATGTAAAAAATAAAATAAAACCAGAATACAATAAAAACAAAAATTGCCAATATAGTAGATCCTCGCTTAATGAGCACCTGGCATAATGAGCATTTTGCTTAACGAGCAAAATAAATTGTAAGAAAAATGACTCGCAAAATAGAATGCGTATTAAATTAGTTTATATGGGGAAAATTGTTTCACTATACGAGTAAAAATCCGGAAATTTTGGAACAGATCATGCTCGTTAAACGAGGTTCCACTGTATATTAAAATTAATCTGCAAACAACAAAAAATGTCAACATAATACAAGTAGTTGGCGGACCACCGGTCTATATTATTGAACATTGATATTGAATTGTATTGAATGTTGTATTAAATAAAGATACAATATATATTTTGTGTCCATGAAAAATATAACGTTATGTAACTAAAGGAAATTAATAACCTACTACTATTGTTGTTTGTGAAATAATTTATTAAATTTCCATTATTAGTACTTTGCATATTACCAACAAATTTCAATTGCAACCAATTTTAATTTGAACGATAACCTACGAACTTAGAAAGATGTAAATATCGGTACACATAACCTATATTATTCTAAAAGGATTTAACAATGTATTGGATTCATTTAATTAAACGAAATATAGTGTATAGTAATAGACAATATAGTAAACAAGTTTCTAAGTAAATTATTGTTAACAAAAACTTTTAAATTATTTGACTTTTAATTAATTATTTTTTAGTAAATGGAAAAGTGTTGTTGGTTTAGAAGTGCATGCACAGATCAGTTCAAATAGCAAACTGTTCTCTGGATCCTCAAATGAATTTGCCAGTCCTGTTAACAACAATGTTTCCTTATTTGATTGTTCAATACCAGGCACTCTGCCTGTTCTAAATAAGAAATGTGTAGAAGCTGGTATCAAAACTGCAATAGCTTTAAATTGTAAAGTTAGTCCTGTTTCTATGTTTGATAGGAAACATTACTTTTATGCTGACATACCAGTGAGTATTGGTTTTCAAAATTCATAAATAAATCTGTAATCATTTTTTTTATAAAGGCAGGTTATCAAATTACACAACAACGTGCACCATTAGCTTTAGAAGGTAATTTGGAATTTCAAGTGTTCACCCCTGGTATCCATAAAAAACCATATACAGTAAATGCTAAGATTAAACAGATTCAATTGGAGCAAGACAGTGGAAAAAGTTTACATGAAGATGATAGAAGTCTGGTGGATCTTAATAGGGCAGGGGCACCTTTAATGGAATTGGTTTTTGATCCTGATTTGAGTGATGGAGAAGAGGCTGCAGCTTTGATAAAGGAATTGGTTATAATCTTACAGAGAATAGGCACTTGCTCATGTAAAATGGAAGGTAAATGTTACATGTTATAGAAGATAAGTTAATATTATTAAATTTATTTTAGAGGGAGCACTCAGAGTGGATGCTAACATATCAATTCATAAACCTGGAGAACCTTTGGGAGTACGGACAGAAGTTAAAAATATTGGTTCAATTAGAGGAGTAGCTGGTGCAATAAAGTATGAAATTAAAAGGCAAATCAAAGTATTAGAAAGTGGTGGACGAATTGTTAATGAGACTAGGGCATGGGAGGCCACTTCGAAGACTACGCTTCCAATGCGTGACAAAGAACAACAGCAAGTTTGTTAAATAATTATATATACACTGCACTGTGTAATGATCTTATTTATTTGTGTTAGGATTATAGATACATGCCAGAACCAAATTTACCACCATTGCATGTTGCTATAGGACCCATTAAGAATGGTTGCGTAAATGTCGATGAAATAGAAAAACAAATTCCTGAATTACCTAGTGGAACTCGTACACGTTTAATAGACGATTTCGGATTGCAATTACAACAGTCAATTATTCTTGTGGTAAATTAATAATTTTTAATAATTCAACATAATCATTTCTTAGTTTCAAGAACAACCCAATATTATTAAATATGTTTGAAGAGGCTGTGAAAGGGTCAACAAATTATCAGCTTTTAGCAAATCTATTGATAAACGAGTTATTAACAATAGTAAATAAAAATAACATGGATTTAGAAAATATGTAAGTACAGACAGTTATTAAAATGTATAAATAAGTATATTTTAACTTATTTCATTTGCAGTTTAGTTGATGGCAAGACTTTCAGTGAGATAGCATCATTAATTAATGATAATCAAATTAATAAAAACACTGCAAAATTAATCATTAACGAGGTCATAACGGGCGATTTGAAAAGTCCCGCAGAGGTAGTAAATTTATATTATCGTAATTACATTAAATTTTATTATTTTCTGGTATTTAGATTATCGAGAAGAATAATTGGATTCAAATATCAGATGTTGCACAGATTGAAAAGATATGCACGAATATTTTGAATGAAAACAAGGATATAGTCGAACAATATAAGAAAGGCAAAACGAAAGTGTTCAATTCACTGATGGGTAAGGTTGCTAATAATTCAAAGCAAATGATCAATATGGCTTTGGTTCCAGAGATCATGAAAAAGTTGTTGAGTAAAATGTAATTATTTATGAATATATTTGTTAAAAGTTATTTTCTAGGTTCGTTTTTTAAAAGTCCCTTGAATTGATTTTATTATATGAGTTTTGTGTTGTCATTTCTTAATTAATGTCTAAACCTGATTCACGATGCTTGTAGTTGATTTTTTTTTAGCAATACTTTTTATTTAAGGTGCAAAAATAGTTAGTAATCTTAAATCATCGCGTTTTTATATATTTAATCGATTTCTTGATTTTCGTAATTATAATTAAGAATTAGGATAATCTAAAAATATTACTTTGTTAATTTGACGTATTTTTAAGAACGTCTGCAATTGAAAAATTTGGCAAATTAACACGTTTCAAATTAGATTTTAGATACCAAATTCTCCTTTAATATCGGCTATATAGATTTCAAATGGTTTTATAATCCAAGACAACTAAATTTTCAAAATATCAAAAATCATTTCCATTTAATGTCGTTATAAACAAATCAATTTTGGAGAAAAATCGTGACTGATTCAACGTGATTCACATTTTCCTACTATGTTTGCATATTATAGAATAAAGAAAATATATGCTTTCTTAATTCAATTAACTTTCATTCTATAGGTTTATCAATTTTCAAAAAGAAGTCTATTAGATAATTAAAGGTAAAGGAAGGTAGTGATCTTTTCGGATTCGAAAAGTGCGATGGATGCTATTGAATCCATACTGAATTCGGCAAAGGAAAATTTCTCAACTAGGTGAGCTGACTACGGACAGGACACAACAGATCTGCATCTCTTCTGTTCAGGATGAACAGTTAACAAATTGATGACGGGGGGCGGATTGTCGGTTCTCAGAGGGCTAGAAAGTCCAAATTGTAGTTTCGGCACTGATTTTTTCATGGACCCCCCTTCAAAATTCCGACGAAAAAAACATTCATCTTAATCCCTTTGGAAATGTATAAACTATTATCTTGTTTGATATTGGTATAATTTGCATATATTTAATTTAAAACTTTTATCTGGAAAAATATATCTTTTTATAACGTAATAGAATTAGTATAACGGTTAAGTAGTGAATGTACTTTGATTGATTATTATCTAAGATATTACTATAATTTATTATATGATGCTATATGTATTTCAAAGGGAGGAGGAAGAAAATGCAACAGAATAGATTAGCTGTATTCATTGATTTAGGTGTCTAAAACTGTCTATGCTATAAGATATTTGGAGATAGCCAAAAAGTCAGACATGAAAGATTATTTTTTAAACTAACCCAAATATGCATTGTTGAAATGACATGAGACTTGTGTATCCTTATTGAACAGTTGTTCAAATTATTACGTACCTAGTTTTTGTGAATTATTTCATTCTAATAAAATATAATGCTGCAAATGACATAAAAAATGGATATAGGATATCATTTATAATTTTATTCGTTATAAGGAATAGTTGTGTATGAAAGTTAAGAACAAAACAATCGTTTGAAGTTTATTTTTTCTTTTTATATTGAGGTTTTCTTTCTGTATTGAATATTTCCCTATCCTAACGATGATACGAACAAATCTCTACTTACAAAGACAATATTAACATCTAAATATAATTATATCTAATTGATTTATTTATATATGTATAATCATTATTTACTCTCTATATTGGTACAATCAGAAATAAAGTAAAAAAATAATAAAAAATATGCAGACCATTCAAAATGCTGCTATTTTAAAATGTACATAATTCAACGGACTAAACGCGTGATCTAATCATTTTATAAATAACATAAGAGTTATTGATTCTTGTACAAACCATTTTTATTAATCTTTTCTGCAAGTATTTGTAATAAATGAAATAACATTTTTTTGCCAAATCCAAAAATAGCGTAGTCCGATATGTTTTTGTTTATAACTTTTCAATTTGTTTTTAAACATTTTCCATAACCGATTTGGATATTTAAAATCAATTCAAAAAATCATTTAAGCAGCTCCGCTAAAAAAATAATATTCGATTTCACAAAAAAAAAAAACAAAAATAAGAAAATCTCTCACAGAAAAAATATTAAACACATTGCACTTATCCAAACAAAAAATAATAATTAATAATAATTAAAAGGTATCTCTAATCTAAACAGTCAGTAAATGCTTTTAACAAAAATTGTGTTTCAATAATGAAGAACAAAAGTAAAGAAAAAAAAATCGCAGTGGAAAATTAATATTAATAAATTATAAAATATGGCACTTATCAGACGTGTTCGTGTTAGAATTAAAATTATACATAGACTCGATTTCCGTTTTTCGCTGAGGTGTTTTGAAACACAATGTTTGATTGGATTAGAATCGATAGCATCCGCTTTCCTGCTTTTGATCTGAGGAAGAGAGCGGACATTACCGAAACAAGCTAAATGCGTACAATCCTGAGGGGAGCCAAAAAATAATATAATAAAAAAACATATATATAAAAAAAACAAAATAGTAATAATGTTACATAATTAAATATAGTATAAAATATCACATGTTTACTTTAACAGTAAATGAAATAATAAAAATATAGTTTGAACACTAGTTGCTCTCATGTTTCGCGCGATTTAAATACACAAAAAAAAACAAAATAAAACAAAATTCATATACCAACTGCGTATCTGTATCTACAAAAAATATATATAGATATATATTTACTGTACATAAAAAGAGAAAAAAATCTGAATCGGTTAGCCAATTTATTATCTATATAGATTCGTCTTTACTTATTTATAAAAGAAAAAACAAGAACTGAGCAAACTTTACATATACATACATTTAAATATTTATTTTTTTTTGTTATTTTTCTTTAATTTATTAAGTTTATGTTTCGTTAGCGGGCCTTGAAGACAATAAAGGAAACTCTAGAAATTGGCCGCTAAATACTTTGAAAATGAACATTACAAATAAAATAAAAGAATTTTCCCTTAAACATTAATTATCCATCCTTCTCGCGTTCTTGCACTTGATTCTTATTCTTTCCTTAAATATATAATCTTTCTTATTTTTTCCTTTTCTTTCGTTTTTAATCTTCACTTCTTTTATGTACATGGTATATAATTACATATTTCTTCCTCGCTTCCTCAATATACAAACAAATTAAAAAATATAGCGTGAATAAAATAATAATCGAACAGGTATTATTGTAAGTGCTGATGCTAAGTTTTGGTACTATTTGACTTATTGTTATTGCTTCTAGTAAAGAGAACTCAAATAAAGAGAATCCCTATAGGTTTAATCGAATATTACGTAATTGTTTGAGTGTGGCACAAGGAACTTTTAAACTATCAAACAGAAAACACGGATATAATGAATAGCCTATTGGATTTCGGTTCATCCAAGATTAATAAAATAAAACGAAAAAAACAGCGCCTTTTTCTCTCACATAAATAACTATAAAATATTTTGGCAAATGACATTTTTTGTTTACATAATATATTTACGATATATAATATATTTTTATATAAAAAAAATATAATTATTATTTAGAGAACAAGCGCGGCACTAAATGTAGTCTTTCTTTTATTTTCTTGTGAATCATTTAATATAATTGAGATCACCGCACTTCGTCACTAAATTATAGAATAATAGAAGAAAAATCATAGTGACAATATTATAGAAATGTTGCGCTAAAGGTCCTTTATATGTTATTATCCTCCATTCTCACTGTTAAAATTGATTTTCATTTTCGAATGCACACAAGGACAGCATTAATTCATTCATTATCAATATTATTTCATCATATTTTTGTTTTGTTTATAAAAACCAACAGATATATATAAAAAAATATACAGAGTATATTACAATTCACATTAATTTAATTTTTACACCGCTATATCAATTTGCTAAAAATATGTTTTTTTTAAAATTTGAAATATAATTTATATTTCTAACATTAGCTCTAATGTATTTTTTTTTGGCTCTCAGTCTTCTTCTATAATCACAATTGCAATTAATGAATCATCAATACTTGTTTGTCGAATGTCTAAAGAATAAGAGAATAGTTTGGATTCTCTTATTTTTTGGGCGGTCTTTGATTATAAAAGCAAATGTTATACGATCCAAAATTAAATTAATGTAGCATGTGATGTCGGTGTTGTTGCTGTCGCTGTTGTTGTAATTGATGTTGTTATATTTTTTTGGATACGCGTGTGCTTTTAGTTGTTTTGCGTTCTCATATCTTCTCTTCTCAACGTGTTCACCATCTTCGTCGTTTTCGACATCGTCTTTACAGTAGGTACAGTTGGTAATTGTGAAAGTGGTCCTGAGTATTGGGGTGGGCTATGTGACACTAATGATTGATCTCGTCGGGTCTTTTGGGCCCGAATCGGGGGGCTCATTTTTCACGCACTGTCCTGTCAGTTGGTTCACACTGAGTGGATTGTTTATATCGTGGGGATTCGTGCCCACCGGGTTCCTAGGTGGGTGTTGTAGGTGCTGCTGTTGTTGCGGCGGCGGCGGCAGCTTCACGTCGAAGGCTTCGTGGGGCGTCAGAGGGCTCTGCAGCATGTAAGGACTCGCCACGGATACCGAAGGACTGGCGACTGACGTCGAAGGACTCGGAAGGACTACTCCCCCAGGACTCGTAAGACTGCTCAGCGCCGACAGTCCACCAGGACTGGACATCGACTGGTTCAGACTCTCCGCGTCGTCCTCCGGAGGGGTGTGTGCATCCCCCATACTGCCACAGCTGCCCAAATTGTCGTCCGACTGATTGCCATCATTCGTATCTCCCGCCTCCATATATCTTATACATTTTTTCTTGCGCCTGAAACATTTCAAATATAAACGTTAGGTAGCTGCGAGAACTCGAATAACAATGAACAACCAAACAAAATAAATATAAACAAAAACAACAACGTATCGAACACACCACAAAAGTTAAATAAAGTATCTGCCTTGAGGCTTTTACCTTAAACAACATCAATATCTAAACATGCTTTTAAAAATTTCGTGTATGCCTAGTAAAAATTTCGTTGTCCTCAAAATTTGGAAAGCTAAACAGATATAATCGAAAACGATAAAACGATATTGTAAAGAATAAAATAGCTTTATCGTAATAGAGTTTCTAACATTTTTGAATTAGCGAATTATTCAAGTATTGCATTTTTACATTCCCACGTCTTAAATATGACAGAATGGTCTACCTGCATCTCTCACACCGTAAAAAATGTTGAAAATTTAAATACGTAACAGCAACGATTGCTAATACAGATTTACGGATTGAAGAGGTGCAGGTTTTTTGTTTGTTTATTTCTGTATTCGGTAGTACAGAAAATCATGGATTGAGATCTTCGTGACTAGAAATTCAGACATAAGCTTGAGAAAGCAAAGAGTACCATGCAGAAACAAAAGAAAAGTAAGTAAAACTCGTGTAGTAAGTGTAGCTAAGATAAATAAAAAACGGGTATTTACAGTCATGCATGTAGTAAATAGTCGCCCTCTCGTGTTATACTCGGAAGTTTTGAACAACAAAGAAAAAGTGAGCTGGCAACGGACAACACGAAAGGTAAATTATGAGTTCAAATTTTAAATAAAGAAAATAAAACAACAAATTTTGGCATTCGTATATCAAAAAAGTCGTTCGTAAAATGAACAAAAAAATAAAATTAAAAATATGTATGTAACGAAAAAAGGAAATCAAATTTGTTTAAACAAAAACACCAAACACTGCTGTTGCACTAACCACCGCCGCAGCCTATAGGTTGACGTATGTTGGTTCCTGAGGCGACTGAGTAGACGCAGGACCCCCTGCAGAATGCAGGAGACTAGCGTGAACTCCCGAACTTCCACCACTCAGCGAACTGTTCTCGGGGCTAATAACAATCGTTATTATGTACAATGGGGCACAAGAATACTTACACAAAATAATAAAATGATTACAAAGAAACACATAAAAAGAAAATCAGAGAAAAAATCATAATAATAATAAAAGAAAGAAAAATAAAATTATAAACATGTGCATATAAAAATTCAGAAAGAAACAAATCAGAAAATGTGTCACTAGATTTTTATATATTTTTTTTTAATTAACTCGTATTTTAAACCGATGCCCCCTTGTAACTCACTTAACAATTGTATCGTTTACAAAAAAAGTAACAGCAAAAATAACAAAACTTAATACAACAGCAATGTAAAAGTGCATTGACTATTTCTTTTATCAAAATTTCGGGTCCTTCTCTGTGTGGGAAGACACATTTTCTGATTACACAATATACGCAAATGAGCATATATACTAATAATAATTATACGTAAGGATAAGTATTAAATAATAATAATGGAAGAGATAAAAGAACAAATAAACAAAGAAAATTCACGTGTCTCCTACCGCTCTCGTAATGATCGTTATGATCAATGACAGGGAAACAGTAAGAAATAATGTCATAAATAAATAAATATAAAAATAAACAAATAAATCGCAGTCTTTCCACATAGATAAGATACACCAAATAGTGAACGACGATTGAAAATATGAGCTTGCTTTTGGAGGTATGTCGGGTGAGCCCTCCGCTAACCTCGTATTTCCCTCGTATCAAAATTCAAATGAACTAAATCTCTGCTCATTTTAATTTTCAATTAAGATTGGATATAGCACCAAAACTAAAAAGAAAACGAAATATCTAAGCCAAGTAAATAATCATGTGATATTTGGTGCACAATCCTTTAGAAGAATAGAGTAAACGAAACTGAACGAAAATCAAATAAGAAATAAATAAACGAAACGAAAAACTCATTCAAGTTATATAACAAAAAAAATATAATATAAAAAATAAAACGTTATATTATGTATAAACAACATGCAGGGGTGATTCATGAATAAATGAAAATAAAATTCTTGCTTATATACAAAAAAACCGATTTGATTCTATATACGAATTTTTCATTTTATTGAATTATTTAATGAGCAAACGATAATTTAATCCCACTTTATGAAAAATTTATTTTACTTTTAAAAGCAAAATATTTTTTTCTATTTTAATTTCAGTCAACATATTTAATTTTAATCACTAAATTTAAAAAAAATCATTTTATTTTTAGAGTTAAAAAATCTCTATTTGTGCGAAATATTGCATGTTGAGATCAACCGATTTTTGTATATAAGCAATAAACACATTTTGATAAGTAAACAATGATATGGTGTTGGGGAGGTAATAATTAAGTAAATAATATCAAGTATTTGTCAATATTTACCTGCAAGGTTTACACCACTGACTCTGTTGGTCCAAGCCATAACGGGCTCTGCATTTTTTCATGCTGTTACCTACGGAAACGCCCAAAAACACATATTAGATATCGTCGACAAGCTAAAGCTTGATGTGAAATGAGACTACATAATGAAACAAAACAAAAACTACTATAATTCATGCAGAAGACATTCCAAATCTTATTATCTCGCGAATTTCAATGAAATAAAATACAGACATAAAATAATTGCTTTTTAAACTTAAAATAAAACGTTGAAACGTTAAATGTAGACAAATTCTTTAAAAATTGAATTAATATTCTTTTCAATAGTAAAACAATATGTTTGGAGTTATTTTTTAAATTTACAATACTTTTAAGGAGACTACAAACTACGTGATATTTGCCAATTCATGTGAATAATATTGAAAATTACTTGTAATATTTAAATTGCTACAAGTACTTGTCCATGTTTTCCAAATACATGTATTATTTAGCAAGTATCTCATAGTTCATATATTTTTTAAAGTTTAGTTGTAGCTTTCTAAACATATTATATACCTTAATTTAATTAATCCAAACACAATTGCAATTAAATTGCCAAGTAGTAGTATCTTATTTACTTGATGTATACAATTCATTAAAACTGATATGATTAAACTGTGATGCATGTTTAGTATACATAATAAAAGTGTATAATTATATAAAACAATGCTAGCCTGCATAAAAGATCATTTATTGCTGCATTAAATTATCTTTTTATACAATTAAATTACAAAGATGAAAAAAAGAGTTATTTCTTTTATGCAGCCCAACATTGAATGTAAAATTTATTTTTTAATAAAATTTGGAAGTCTATTACGTGGCTCAGAGTCGCTTGCACCGCTTCCGTGTCGAGAATAGAGAATAGTTAATCGAGCACAACGAATGACCATCGGTGGAAGCGTTGCAAACGACGTCGCATTTAAGCTGATTACAGTTCTGTGTATACAGAGGAAGTAACATCAGCAGAATCAACAAAGCTCGGTACAAAACAAACTACGTGGTTGCTACTACTTTGAAAGAGAGATGCATGCGATTAACTAATATGGAAATGTACTAATCGAAATATAGAGAAAAGATATAAACTACTGGGACCAAGAGATTTTATTTTGAGATATACATGCAAGCTATTGAGGAGACTGCCCGACAACAACGTGCATACGAGTGAGTGTCTGCTCGCGCAGAATAGGTCCTGGCCGGCCGACCGAGTAAATAATAATATAATAATAATAATATATTATGTAATAGAGTATTATATAATATAATGTGGTTGTATTTGTATATATATTCTCGTAATGACAAATATATATCTAAATGTATATATTTATATTAATTGATATGCGATATATATATAGAGATACCCAAGCATGCAAGATAGAGAGAATCGCAAGTATTTCTAGGGGATGATGGCTACCTCCATCGGCAGGGTCTTGTTTGCGCTTCCTCTTCTTGCCACGCGTGGCGTTAGCACGGGACGACCAGTCGGGGTAGAGCTGCATGTGCAGCTGTCGCTCACGGCGCGCCAGTTCGTAATACTTGGCCTGCTCCTCGCGGCCCAGCGCGTGCCACTAAACAAATTTATTATTTTTTTACAGGTAAAGGTAAGCCAATCGCAGGCATCGGCAGGCACCAAGAGAAGCCGCTTAACGCCACGACCTGCCACAGCCTCGGCCGACCCATTCTGCGCGCGTATGCACGTACTGTCATGTCGTCCTCGTCGTCGTCATCTTCATCATTCATCATTTGATCGTGTGTCAGTTAGATATTATTATTATTATCATCATCATCGTCATCACCAGTATTAACAACAACAACAAAAATCGTGTCCCAAAAAATCATAAATAATAGTTGTAGTAGTAATATTGATGAAGTCCAAAAATTAAGATTCAGAATTTTATAATAATAATAATAATGTACAGAATATATATCACAGCAGCAAAGGTGGAACAGCAGAGAAGAGTGTAGTGAAACGCTCCGCAAAAGCTGCCACCACCCCCGGGGGGCCCGAACTACACACACACAAGCAAACTTGTTAGCAAAAGACAACCAAAAGTAATAATTAATTAAAAAAAAATATTAAAGAAAAACAACTGGCCAGTGTATATATAGTTAGTTCCCGGAGCTGAATATGATATATGTATATAAGTACGAAAAAGAAAACCAAATGATAAAAGAGAATTTCCAAAATAAAAAAAATCAGTAGGTAGTAACTAGTACGAGTTTGTTAATAAATTAGGGTGCGCGAATACTTTTTGTTTGTTTGTTTTTGTTTGAATTAATATACCTCCCGACTCGACGGGCGTACGCTCTTTCTTTCGCTTCTTCTTCTTGGTGCCGTAACCGTAATTGTCTCGAGCGCTCCAGCCTGGGTACAGCTGCATGTGCAGTTGGCGCTCCTGCCTTGCCTTCTCGTAATACTTGGCCTGCTCCTCCCGACTCAGAGAGTGCCACTGCACAACCATACAGTTATATCCACGCCACAACACAGTAAATAAAAAAATAACCTAACACTAAAGGAACAACCACAATCTCACAGTCATTCGTACACAATAAACAAATTGGAACGCAGCTTTGGAATCATATAATTAATAATAGCCGGCATCTTCTCTATACGGTCCTGCTTTCGACGCACTGACGAATCAGATCATTGAAAAAAATACACGACCGTACTGGTACATTTATATAAAAACATTACATTGCTAAAGAAAAAACACATTATTTATGAACTTATCAAATTGTACTCACATCAGAAAAAAAAATGAATAATTTGATATGTAATATGTGACCAGTGAACTACAGTAGTAGTGAAACTAAATGCAATAATTTATTATTTTTTAAGTCCAATTGAAATATTAATTATATTAATTCAGTAAAACACAAATATATATAATATATAGACATCACTTGATTTTACTTACCCAGAAATCAATCAATGTCAAATAAAATGATGCAGTTCGATTAATTAATTTATTTGCATTCGGTTATAAATCGGATTTAATAATGCATTACAGCTTCAATTAGAGCCCGAACAAGATGAGCTTTATTATCAATATTCACACGCTCTTTTAATGTAGTAATCGAAGGAAAACGTAATTGCCGTTATTAATTCCAATTTAATGAGCCGCTTCCAGGCTACACATTATTTTTATGATTCCAAACGCGACATAAAACATAATTAAGTATAATGAATTTAAGTTTTTTTTTTTGCAATCATTCAAGGAACAACAATACGTAATATTTCTATATCAGAGCAGGCAACTCTGCCAACTAGAGTTATTAAAATGCAACAATGTATAAAATGTCTAAACATTGATTTTTTTTAGCGATACTTTTTTTCTTTAAATAGTCATAGTATCGCGTCTGTAATAATAATTATAAAGTAAAGTAATTAATGAAATGATCAAATATTTTTTATTTAAGTAATTTATTTCGATTGATAATGCGTTTATTACCCAGCGCATCCTCCATTTTCTGTTGTCAGTGTACTTTGACAATAATGAAAAGAAATTAAATTTCAATACTTTCACAAATATGATAGTTGCGGTAATACTATATTGTTTTTTAATAAATAAACATTAATATGACTTTACAATAAGTTAAGCGCCTATGAAGAGTACGTTGAATAATTTCCATAGAAGCATTTCCTCTTAGGCAACCATGTTTACTTCATAAATATACCAACAATGAAAATTGATAGAAAATTATAGCAATATATTTTGTAATCGGTTGATATTTAGTGTATATAGAAATATTATTTATTTATGTCTCTTTTACAAAAAGGAAAATTACTAAATGCTCTCGTTTTATATTAATATTTTTAGATTATTTAATAGAAAATCTAATCAAATCAATTTTCGTAATTATATAATAAATATTATCAATTGAATGTTTTATTTCTTAATGAATTATATTGAAAAAGTTTTAATTTCTCAGTAATTTTTCTTTGCGTAATATTCGTCATTCACTCACTCATTCGCGCCATGTATTGACTTGGATTTTCGGGTGTTGTACATACCTTTCTTCCAAGGATCTGATTAATAGCGGCACTCTCCTTTAACGTACATTCGGCTACAACTTTGGCACGCATCTCCTTCATATAAAGCATGAAGGCGTTTAGGGGTTTCTTGATGTGGGGCTTCTTTTTGTCTGCCGCATTGTTGCTATCCTGATTGTTCTTCCCGTCACCAACGTTGTTCTTCTGGTCGACTTGAGTTCTAAAACAAATAAGAAGGCATAAGGTCGATTCGAAACAATTCCTTTTTTCTACGAATTAATGAGAACCTATCAGAGGAGATTGTTGTGGTGGTGGTTGTTGTTTTTTCGGGGCGCATTTCGTTTTTTATGAGAGTGTCGAAATTTACGTCGGTTGATGGTTTCTTGTTGAGAAGGTTGTTCAAGATGCTGTTGTTGGCCGCGCTGTTCGTGGAATTCACGTCGAAAGACGACGGCTGCTTGTTTAAATTCAAATACGGCAGATTCATATTCAGAACAGAGTTCATGTACCAAGCGGTAAGGAATTTGTGCTCAGCCAAATGGTTTATCATTGAGTATATGTTGTCTGGGGAGGCAAGGTTCTTCTCGTAGAAGTCGTTCATTTTATATATGTCTTTGAAGATGTTCGTCTTAAGGTCGTGTATATTCTCGGTAAAGGAGTTCTTGTTGTAGCTGTTGTTTTTTACTACCTCGTCCTTGGATAGGTACTTGCGGAGCTCCTCGTGGTTATTGAATTTGTTGTTGTTCTGTTTATCTGTCGGCGTAGGCTCGTCGAACTCGCTCTTCAGGTGCTTCAGCGAGAGGTCCTGCGGGATGTCCTCGGGCTTGTCCGTCGGAGCTTTATCACGGTTCACTGTTTTGTGTACTATCGTGTTCTGATAGAAATCAACCACTGATGATGGGGCGACGATCGCGACCGGCCGTTTTTTTATTGTTAAATTCAAAGGTTCATCCATTATACCTTATTTGGGCAAAGGATTCGGGGTGACGAGAGAGGAGAGAACAGAGCGCGTTGATGGCCGGGAGCGGAGTTTTCTTGGGTCGCGTGCAGGGGGATGCATAAAGCTATCACCAGGACAGGAGATTCAACAAGTTTTTTATTCGTCGTTTATCACGAGAAAATCAATATGAATGGCTGTGCCCTGTCCTTTGTTAAGATTAGATGGAAACAGACAGAGAACACGTGGTTCCCATCAAGGGAACGACCACACACGATTGCACCGATTTGTCGTCCTAAGCAAACACCTCTGGCCTCGTCGTTGTCCACCACCAAATCGCACGTATATATTTTAATTCGCGAAGCAAAACGGAGGAGAGGAGAGAGAATTCGACGTCGAGCGCGGAGAGAACGGACAAACGCGCGGACACACAGATTAGGGATGCACGCATTGAAATGTTGAAATAGCGCATTCGGAATATGTCTGTTTCAATTGCAGTGCGATAGAGATAGCGGCGGAACGTTTGTTACGTGAGCTCTTATTTGATGGATTGGCTCTACTCCTACATTTATACAACATAATAACACCCCAAATCAATAATTCATTTCCAACCTCACCACCGCCACCCCCTCGCGGTTCGCGAAAAATATAATTTCCAACAAAAATATAATTTTCCAAAAAAAAAACTAATAAATATCGTTGACAGAAAAAATGTTAAAATAACTTGAATTATTTAAATAAAAATAAGCGATTTATCCCGGCGACGCCAATCAATTATTTAAGGCACCATCATAAGGGTGGGTCGTACGGCCTTGGCGGGAGATGGTTCTATGGGCATCATAATATTGTAGCATCGAGGGTAATGTGTAATTTGAAATCCGAAATAAAAAATGCATATCATTACTGGGAGAGCCCCGCGCACAGCTATCTTATCAAAGAGAATTATTGATTAGGGTCGCGCGCGCTCCGAGGGTGAGAGCCAGTTTTACAGCGAACGATAAGAATGACAGAAGGCCGCAACCCCTATGACTGGCTTCCACAACACAGAGGGAGCCTCGCGTTCCGCAAACGCTATAAATGTTTCACCACCAGAAAACGCAATCACATTCCATACGCAACTCGATTAAATTCATTACAAATTATTTTTACATATATCTACGTGCCACAAATAAATTACTATCATCATTAAATATGATCAATAATTAATAAACGGTTTTAAATTGACGAGCAAACGTTTCAGTATTATTCAATAATAACATTTTACACCAAACATCAACACAGATTATTGAGAGAACCCATTACAAAAATTATATAAACGCTTACATTATATTTTTGATTTGATTACATCAAATTTATGATACATTTTAATTGTTGAAATAAAAAGTAATAAAATAACATGTATATGATTTTGATTTGTTCATCCAGCAAATTATTTGAAATTACATTTCTTTCATATGCAATTAATTTATAAAATTTTAAAACAATCAATTTCATTGAGCAAAATGAAAAACGGACTTTTTGTGTTGTTCACGTTTTATTCGGTTTTCTAGATTAGTGCAGTTTCAAACAGTGCGGTATTAAATTGTAATAAGCTATTAACTATTTTTGTTGAATGATTATTATTATAAATATATTATGTAAGTATATATCAGCAATATAATAAAATAATATTTTAAATATTTTTGTAATTTTATTTTGTAACATTATACTATAGTTTTTGGCATTGGTACAGTGATAATAATATATTTCTAAAGGTTGCAATTATTATTATAATATTTTTATATTTAAAAAGTTTCGTAGTACTAGTTGTTATTGCGATATTAGTATTTTCTCAAACAGAGGTTTATTATTATTTTTGCAATTTTAAAGTCCTCCATGTGACAGCATTGGACAAACAGTCAGTATGTGTATGAATGTGTTTTTGTACGTTGTATAGTTGTTGGAAAATTAATATTTTCGCGATGATGATGATGGTCCATGGCGGAAAAGCATGAGCGAACCGTGTGAGGGGTTTGTTGATGTACATATGTGTGTATGTACGTGTGTGTATGTGTGCTCTGTTTCGCCCCAATCAAGACGGTTTTCATTATCGTGTGCGGGATTAACGCGGCGTGCCCGCGGGAAACGCGTTTTCAGTTTACCGCTGAAACATTAAAACGCGGGCTGCAGAACAAATAGCTCGGGCAAATGAAAACCAAACAAGAACTTCAACCCTTCGAGAGGAGAGTGAGTGTTGGATACGGGAGAGAACGGCGAGATGAGGTTGCCCAGGCAACCATTGACCAATGGCCGCGCACCCGATAACCAATCTTGGATCTCATTTCTCGCATGGCTGCTTCATACATGCGATTACTACCCAGTAGTACCCGCTACTTTATGCTTGATTATAATTACAACACTTAGAGCACTAAAGTAATGATAACCGATATTAACAAGTCGACAATTCTCATAACTCCTCAGATAACTTATAAGAATCTATTCTTCTCGTGAAGAAGAAATGCGTGTTTCGTTGTCTCTTATATTCTAATAATAGTAAAATGATTAAGCCTATATACACACCTTGCATACCTCGAATGGTTGAGATCTGGTAGTTCCTGTTTAGGCCCAGGCGTGACTATTGCAGGATGAGAAGGTAAGTGTGGGCCGTGGGGCGAAAGGCCCGGGTGAGGTGGGATCAGACCCGTCGGCGAAAACCTGTAAAAGTCCGTCGGCAGGCTGGACGTCGAAATTGGCAAGGTACTCGGGTAAGGGCTGCGGAATCCTGCACCAGGCGACAGAGGATACATCGTAGGTGTATGCCTTTTGGAAAAGAAGAAAACATAAATATATAGCAACAGCAACAAAAACACAAGTATAGTAGACTGGAACACAGATCAGATTAAGGAGATAGGAAGTAGTTTGAGCAGAGTTAATGCGATTCGTTACGTCGCGGCGGTTCCAATTAGGGCCGCAAATCGACCAAAACACTCGATTTCAATACGCCTCCTGTTCCTCCACTCATGTGACAAATTGAAAAAAAGAGTGGAGACTCCGAAACATTTAGATCCCTAATACGTATATTATTCTTTAATTATATTACTGGCTTACCACGAAGCCGCCACCTGTGACATCTCTGGGCTGAGCATTGGATATGGATATTGGCCTGTGCTGAATGGATACATCGGGGGCCGTGTGAGACCTACAAAAATAACAAAGTACATTTAATACTATTCAATAAAAAAAAACAAGCTAAATAATATTTCTAATTACTACTAAGTTAATCAAATACAGCTACCCAAAACTACAATTCTATAAATATTTAACAACTGATGTTAACTTAAATATCGTCAGGTTACTAAATGTAATCGACGCGCATGTAACGAGCACTGTTGTATGCGAATGTGGGGTGAATTCCTTTTCCTTTCTCTCTTTTTTTTTCACCAGTGAACAATCAATTCGCAATTGAATTCGGAGGATGTTCTCTATCCGAGCTCCTCTTTTTCTACCCCGTTGGAAGACTATCAAATAACAAATGTAATAAAAGTCCGATGTTTCCCCGCTGTCATTACAATAAAACGTTTGGGTTTAAGCTGCGTGTAATTGTCATCTGTGAGAGGGTTGAAAGGGAGGAATGAGAGCGAACCTTTGTCCCTACATCCAATCGATATGGAGATGATGTCAGAACGTTTTAAAAATGCAAATAATTATTTTATTTCCCTTCGTCGCAACTTCAATAATATAATTAAAAATCTTACTGTAAAGGGAATACAAGTTGGAATTTGATAAATAAAATCGAAGGCTATCTCTAGATATAATAATGAAAATCATACGTGATCAATTTCTTTTGTCAATTAGAATCGAAAAGTAATTCATAAACCACCCCTAGTATCGAGAACATATTATTTTTTTCTCATGAAAAAAATATTAACAATCAACATTATGGCATGTTTGCGACTGAAATTGCATGGGATTACGTAAGCTGGTGGGCGTGCTTCACTTTGAAATGGCTTTTTTCCTACACACTCTCGCATTCACGACACGGGAGCTGTAATTTAGAAATAATATGCGGAGTATAATGTACTAGCCTTTTTTACTCATATCATGCCTTTTTTCTTTCTTTCAATGAATAAATATAGGAAAGGGGACGAGGCACAGATTAATTAATAAAAAGCCTGGATTCAAGCGAAAGGAATAACATCGAAAGGAATTAATCAAACAGAAATAATAATTCTTAGAAAGAAATGTATTATTAATACATGTTATTGTACAGCGCTCATAAAAAAACTTGGAACTGAATTTATACACAAATACTTATTTTTCCCGTGGAGAATACTTGTATAATTTGTTACGTTAATTTGGTTAACCATGGTAAACGAGCTTTCTTTCTAATCTGGGATAAAGTTAGGGAAGGCGAACAAACTTGTATTCATTGAAAAGTTTCCTGGTAGATAAAACTGCTCCCGGGCGCGAAGTTTCCATTCTTCGAGAAAGTTCCCGAAATTGGATTTGAAATTGCATCATCGGGATTATGTTTTTTTTATTAATAATGCTAGTTTTTAATGAGAGAAACTTCACAAAGCCACAAATCAAACCAAATCGGCATTTACAAAATATTTATATATACAAAATATCTATCCCAGAACATCTATAAATCCCGAAGCTCTCTAAGCTTTTTAATGAGCAAGCGTTCAGTTTTCTTTCTATTTCAGGGGTTAGGGGACAAAAAGAAACCAATAAGTGTATAACTGGTTTTCTCCGATTGGGTCACGTGCTCCGTCACGTGTGCACCGTTCACTACTCCGATAATTAGTGTTGAAGTATTATTTTTTAGTGTCATTGGTAGACCAGCGTGCATGAAGAAAGAGAAAAAAATGCAAAAGTAGAAACGAGTAGAGGGCGCACGTGACCCAACGAGGGAGCATTGGCAATTAGTGAGCGGTTTTCGCGACTAATTGGTGCGGTGAGGCCCCTTCGCAAAAGGGGTGAGAGAAGGTTTTCAGCGAATTGCAGTTTAAAAGAATTTCTGTTTAATTGGGATATCTACTGTACCATGTCATATGGTAATATGCGCAATTATTTTTTTCTTGCGCATAAGTTAATTATTGAATGAATCCAAATTGTAGTGTTAACTGGATATTAAGTAAGACATTTGATGTGCGATGAAAGCAAGAAAGAATGGAGTAAAAAAGAAAATGATGATTTTCACCTGTAGTAGATTTGCATTTGTATGTGTGTATATATTTATATATATTCATTGAGGCGCGGATAGGGTTAAGCATTTCCCGCTTTTGTACGATTAAAATATATCTGGGATATTCAGTGAGAAGAAGCGTGAGAGAGATAGAAAGAGAGAGCAGGGTGAGGTGGATTCTCTCTCAAAGGGAAACCGAATAAACGAAGACAATTAAAACGGTGAGCAGTGGCGCTCTTCGTTGAAAAGAAAAATCAACAACACGCTAAACAGCAGCGATGAGAGAAAATTAGATTCGGAGTTCAAAGGCGGCTCTCTTCTCGCGAATTATGAAAACACCTCGAGTCCTTTGAAGGAGAGGCGCACGATATGCAAACGACTAGGATAATTAGTATAATGGCAGCCACTTCAA